TAGTCGGCGACGGTACTGGCTGGATGGCTGTAGCAACGGGAGGCGGAATGCGACGTTGGTGGTAAAAATAACAGGATTATATCACATTTATAAATGACTGTCAAAGTTGAAAAAATATCAGTGCTCAACTTTTCTACAAACGATCTCGCTGTGTTCAACCCTTCTACGAAGCCGCTTTTTATAAGTTTCCTTGTAATGCCCCGTTTCCACCTTGTGAAACTTTGGTAATTTGGACGGGTCTTTCCGACTGTTATTTCGCTGCAGCCTTATAAGACCACCTGGCTGCGCCATTGAGGCACCCAAGAGCGATCTCTCGCCTGGAAGTGTTTTCGCTTCTCCTAAAGGTGACACATTAGTGCGCTGTCTATTATGACTACCTGGCCCTGATTCTTGCCTTATTACTTGCTGGTGGTTTTCCCTTTTTCGAGTATGCCTTTTTTGATGAATTTTCGCTTCAATGTTCTTATTTTGTGAAGGGCTATATGTGCTACAGGTAAGCATTAGCTTGTCCTGTCCCAGTGTTCTGTCGCTGGGTATGACTGAATCTAAAGCTTTGACATCAGGGACATTTGCTTTTGGATATATTCTCTGTTCTGAAATTGCAGTCATTCCATAGCAAGTGTTGGACCCAGCATTTCGTACTTCAAGTAACCCTTTCCCATATAAGGTGGGTCCGAAATATGGTCTTCGCAACATGGAGACCTGAGGGAGCTCTTTCCATGTGACCTGAACTAGTGACCAGGTCATGGTAGTAGTCTAACCCTACTAGGATGTGGGGAATTTGGTGCTCCCCTTGCAAGTTCGAGTTTGCCAAACGAATATTGTTTTCTTTTAGGAATTTAACATCTGTTTTGTTGAGTTTGACGCTTGGGAAGCCGCTTGTAATTGTCGGCTTTGTTTGGATCTTTAGCTCCATTTCTTCACTAAATGCAGAGCATACCTTTATGGTAACCGCATGGGTTTTGAAGGTCTCTACATGGCCACCCATACCCGACATAGGTGCAAATCTTGGTAGAATCCCTTGGGATACCAAATCGCTCTGCTGTTTTCTCTTCTATGACGGTATGCTGGGCTCCAGAATCAAAAAAGAATAGCACTTTCTCATAGCTTTGCTTCTTGAAATTCCAAAGATCACCTTCGGCCGTCATGAAGACGAGCTGTGAAGTCGCGCAGTTTTGTTCTGCCGCTTTGGAGGGCTTTCTTTTACTCTCCGCATGGAAGCTGTTGGAGAAATATCTGCGTCCCTTTTTGTTGGAGAGAACGTCTTTGATTTCTAGGATAGGAGTTTAACGCCCTCACAGATGATGGTCTAGTCTGACTAGGGAAGGTCGTCAGGTCGAAGTGGCCATTTGTAATGAGATGTAGCTCACTAGACGTGGTTTTGGACGCTGATCTCGAATCTGCCTTCGAAATTTGCAGAACGATTCTCTGAACGGAATTATGAAGGTTTGTTAGAATTAAAACGAAGGAAACAGAGTCGAGCGCGGTCGCCGGCCACGCATGAATAGCCGGGAAGCATCGTTACCTTCAACGGTGGCATGGTGTAGTGGTAATGGTCTTGCTTCACGGGTATAGTATGAAGGGTTCGGATTTCTGGAAGGGGACTTG